TAATTTAATTAGGACTTGATCAATGATAATTGAGGGAAAGATGAAATGGGCTCACTTTTTCCCCTGATGAAGGTTGAGCATGAGCATGATATCAACTTGTGAGTTTGAAAAAGAGACAGAACTGACGCATTATTAACAAGAATATCAAGCTTCCCACTCGTACGCGCAGAAACAACATCCCTCGCATTCCGAATCGAATCGAGCTTAGTTATATCCAGTGCCAGCGTCTCGATTCCGAGTTCCTCCAGCCCTTTCATAGTCTCTACCCTTCGGGACGTGGCGAAGACGCGTAAACCTGCAATCAGTTAATCAAGAAACAGTTTGAGTCGACGGAGAGCGCCGCGTCAGCGTTGGGAGTTCGAACCAACCTCGAGAATGATATTCAGCAGCAAGAGCAGCCCCAATCCCTCCGTCAGTGCATCCAGTTATGAGAACGGTTCTTTGTGGGGCGCCGGGCATAGTAGTGATAAGTCTGAAGCAGCGTCGACGTAGACAGCGAGACTTTATAGCCTTCTTCCCAAGTGGGTATGTACACGAATCCGTTGCGGTTGAAACCGGCAACCGGATCCCGAGGTGTAATCGCGTTTGGTCATGTTTAAATTCTTAATTGAGTTAACGTTGTTCGGCGCTGTTCTGTCTTTTAATTCGGGAGGGTTCTTCCGGCTCATAGTTCATTGCGGATCCGCCGTCGTCGGTCGACAGTCACTACTAATTACCTGGTAAAAATTAATTACAACGATCCCATGATAAACATAATGCATAAATCAACCAGTCAGCTCACTCGATAGCGAATCCCCATGCTTCTCAGCCAGCAACTTCGCCATACTCCAAGCAGAGCGATATACCGCCTTCTGTCGCTCCTCCTGCCACCTTGGCGGCGCGCCCCAAAGCGCCTCATGCGCAACAAACCCATATTCAAGATTCGGATTCCCGGTTGACCCCTCATAAACCATCTCATCCAACTCCAACTCCAATTCCCCCTGCGCAAGATACGGCTCCGCGATCGCCTTACACAGCTCAACCGGCGTCTTAACGTTGTACTGCGTCATACACTGGCGTATAAGATCACGGAGAATGTAGCACTCGTCGTGATCTCCGTTGATCCCGTCCAGGACGACGAATTGCATGCAATCGTCGAAACTTGCGGCAGGGGCGTCCATAGCGTCGGTGCTGCCATGGCAGAACATCTCCGCTTGGCAGGAGTCGAGGATCGCATCTTTATAGGTGGTGGTACATTCCCAACGGCTCCCCTTCGTCAGACCCACGAGCGAGCTCGAGGTGCGGCGATACGTAGCGGGGATGCAGTGCATGGAACGGACCGCTTGTTGGTCTTTCCCCTTGCGCAATATCACGGTGAGGTGTTTGTATAAAAGACACCGCCGTAGAAGTTCGTTGAGGAAGCGATGCGAGTATTCGTCTTCGCAGGATAGAGCGGCGTAGAGGACGGGCGGATGTTTCTTTTGTTCCCATGTTATGTCTCCGCTCCCGTCTTCGGATTTACTGTGTGTGGGACCGGTGACGTGCTTTTCGGTCTCGACGAACCCGACGAGGAGGCCACACACAGCGAGTATCCCTGCACCGTAGAAATTTGTATGCTGCACATGAGTCGAGTGGGGTACGGGGAAATTGGCAGACCCAGTGAGCAAGGCGTAGCGCTGGCACTCGATCATGTCTTCGACCTACAGGTGTTCATATTAGCATGAAACAGAAAAACTCATCGTGGAAGAGCCCGTACCGTCGGACATATCGTCCTCACACAACTCACACAGCTCCGAAACGCAAACACATGCCCCCACGCACGAAACGGATGCGCTATGCCGCTAAGCGACTTGTACACGCGCATCCCGAGCACGACGATAAACTCCGTTTCGGTGTCGACAGGTCGCAGCACGTCGTCGATGGCCGCCCAAATCTCCTCCGTGGACATCCTCCTCATCTTCTCTTGAATGAGTTTCGCGATTTGCACGTCGTGGTTCGGGTCAGTCAGGAATGTCGGTACGTCGACGTAGTTGGATGCGAGGATCATGAGAGCTGGGTCGGTATAGATCGCCCGGCGGAAGTACGCCCAGACGACGCGTTTGCGCTCCTCGTAAAAGGTCGAGGAGGTCGGGAGCATGAAGCAGGAGAGCCGCCACCGGACGCCTTCCCAGAGACGCGCCGCCTCGGATTGCGCGAAAACAGAGCGTTCAAGGGGGTCGCTGGACAAGAGGTCGCTGGTGTAGTCTAGGCCGAGTTCAAAGTCTCCATGGTGCTTGGAGCATCCCGAAACTGATTCGTGAGGGGATTGAGATCGGACCCAGGCGGCGTTTTGAGACTCGAGGAGAAGATCGTAACCACGGCCCTCCAGGCGATGGAGGAGCTGCTCGAGTTCATTGCGGTGCTGTACCAGACCTTCCCAGAACTTGCGATGACCGAAGTCCTGAGGAATGTGAGATGAGAATGGGTGGCAAGTGAAGAACGAACCATATCATTGCTGGAAGAGAGTGGTTAGTCATTAGTTTACTCGATGATTGGGAGGCACGTACCCAAAGAAGCGTTCAGTGAAACGTTCCCGTGCTTTTATGCATCTGGAGCGACATTCGGTCATGCAAAAACCGAAGATTGAAGGGCGGACATACCTATCGACAAGGCCATGTTGAAGGCGGATCTTTTCATTCCACTCCCGAATCGTTGGCATCGAGCGACAAACTCGTATGTCCTCCATGCCACAGACTTCGACATTCCCGCTCATAGAATCGAGGATAGATTGCCAGTACTTGTAGTTTGAATAGAGTTTGGCGCGTTCCTGGAGAGAATAAGTGAATCAAGGCGGGATAGGAAGATTCATTGCGTTGACCGACCTCGTTATGCCGGGGACACCAATTCATCCCAACAGAGGTGCGTGCTTTACAGAGAGTGGCACGCGAGTCTACAGTGGCGACGCAGTCGCCGGTCATCTTGAAATTTACGGACGTGAAAGAAAGAAAGAAAACGATTTGAGTGGCATTGCATGATCGCTTCCTTATGAAGGACCATTAATGGCCCAAGCGGAAAGTGGCCACATCAGCCAAAGCGGACCATTGTTGCGCAAAAAGGGAAAGAGAGGAACTCAAGCAGCTCTTGATCGCAAAGCGCGGAAAATGTGCAACACACCGCGCGCCGTACGATTCGGAGGACAATCATTCTGTTTCAAAGCTTGAAAGAGACTGGAAAAGATCCGAGTTCCTGTCACTCGAGGGCAAGTACAGAGCGTATAGTATGCCCATCGTATGAAGAGTCTTGCATTTCCGGAAGATTTTGTCGAAATTTGTCCAATGCAAACGAGAGTTTTGAATCTCTTGATGAAAGGGAAGCAAAGGAGGAATACGGTCACGTGGGTTAAGCATCATGATCCAGAACAATTTCATCATTTTCGGATGCCGTCTCAAGATCAGTGTTCCTTCGCACTGCGCAGTCAATCCTTGCAGAGTCCATGAGCTCCAACAAAATCCTCGTCGCCAGAATTATCTAGAAGTGAAATTCCCCGTCCACTGATACGTAAATCGTGGCCATGCAGTGTACGAAAAATTATTGAGCAGTGCCGGATGCCGCACCGCGTCATTCGGCATCGGCTCCGATGATATAAACAGCCACAAGCCCTTGAAGGTCGGCATATCTCAGCGCACCCCCACCATGCCCTCTCTCGCCGCCGCCCGCGCCTTCAACGCCTCATTCTCCCCCGCTTACACACCTGTCGCCATTTTCGTCGGAGGAACCTCTGGCATCGGGCGGGGAATGGCCGAAGCTTTCGCTCGACACACCAAAGGAAACGCCAACATCGTCCTCGTCGGTCGGAATCGCAGCGCCGCAGAATCCATCATCCGCACCTTCCCCAAGCCCACCGTTTCCGGCGTCACTCACGAATTCGTCGAATGCGACGCTACCTTGATGAAGAATGTACACCGCGCGTCGACGGAGCTGTGCGAGCGGCATTCGAAGATCAATTTTCTTGTCTTGACGCCTGGAGTGCTCACTATCAACGGCCGGAACGAGACGGAGGAGGGAATCGACCGCAAACTTGCGGTACATTATTATGGACGCTGGCGCTTCATCAAGGATCTTCTGCCGGCTATTGAAAACGCGCAGACAGCAGGCGAAGACTCGAAAGTCATTTCCGTCCTCGCAGCCGGAGATGGCCAAAAGATTGACTTGGACGATCTCGGGCTGAAAAAGAACTTCAGCATTCCAAACGCTGCACATACTGCTCCAACATATAATGACCTTATGGTTTTGGTGAGATTCTCCACGTAGCAAACGGCTCGTGCTGACCCTCGACTCAGGATCTCGCACAGAGATACCCCGAGCTCACATTTGTACACTCATTCCCTGGTGTTGTGAGCACCGGTGGAGCGAAGAATTCCGACTCGCGGCTCATTCGCTCAATCAGCTTCTTGGTGCCGCTCTTCTCTCCGTTGATGTACTCGATCGAGGCCGCGGGTGAATACCAACTGTATGCTTTGCTGAAGTCAGGGAAGGGGGCCGCTCGGACAGGCGCTACGGGCGATGACATGGGGATGGAGAAGTATTTTGGGTCGCCCGAAGCGATGGCTCGTTTGTGGGAGCATACGGAGAAGGAGACGGCGGTATGATGCTGCTGTTTTCTGCTTTTGTTGTGAGCTATCTCTTGACGTTGGGCCTTTCCTCACATTGGCATCCCACGGGTCGATATAATGTTGTAGAAGTACAGTTCGGTGAATCAGCCAGCCAATTACCTTTGGAAAATGGTAGACTGTGAGGGACCTGGCTGAATGAAACACAGCCGGTGATACATATACGGTGAACCTGAACGTGAAGTTCAGGTTCAGGTTCTGCGTTTCGGCATAAGACTTTCCCATCACTAATAGTGACAAGAGCTGAAAATGATAACTTCGGGAGTAAATTGCAGTTTGTGAGGGCTGTAGTGATTCAAAAGGCTTGAAAGTTGGCTGGAAATGTGCGTAGAAGTGTCAGGAACAGTTCTGGTTTCGCCAAAAAGCCAAAAAGGGCCTAACCGGGAATTGAACCCGGGACCTCCTCGAAACACAGGAATCGATAACGATAATGCCCTAACAAGGAATCATACTACTAGACCATCAGGCCGACGAGAGGGCAGCTTACTAAGGCCATATCATCACGGTAAACATCCCAGCCGTGGCCCAAGCACCTCAGCTGAGGATGAACAACAGAGATCATTGCCCTTCTTTGTGTGCTATTCTCATCTCTTGAGACTTGGCTTCAGAGATCATAAATTTGCCTCCCATCTCGCAACACAAGATCTCAGATCCGGTAGCGCCGACCAACTTCCCGAGCTTCGGCATCAGATCAACTGAAGAATGCTGCTGGAAAGAGACAGTTGCAATTTCAGGAAGAGCAAGTCAAGAGGCTTAGTTGAATGAGTTACGGCCGGGAGCGGCTGAGGACGTTGTTCTGCGCGGATCCACACCGCACATTTAAGCCGAGTTTCGGGCGAAAAGGCACAAGTCGGAAGTTAACGTTGCCAGTTAGAGGTCCACAATCGCTATCACCACATATATTGAACGGTCCATCTCGTAGCAACATGAAAAATCGTCGGTCACACAAAGGTGTATGACTTCTAGGCATTCTTCTCGCCTCTGTCCTTCCGCACTTGTGCAGAAAACTCACCGAACTTGTACATGTCGGAGGTGATCTTTGTCTTGAGAATAATTCAGTCCAATCCCAAACGAAGCATGTATTTGGAGTCTTGCTTACCGGTACCCATCGAGGGAAGAAGGAGACCAGGAACCAGAAAGCACTCGCCGAAGCGCCTCCCCAGGAGTAAGCCGGCGGTTTGGTTCTGAGAGTTTCCGCGACGAGCTGCCGAGCGTACTTCTCTGTGCTGGCTGCCCTCTCTGTTAAGTTTGATTTAGTGATGTCGGAAGAGGTGACTTGGCTCGTAAATGAGAAGCACGTACTATTGTTCTGAATATGCAAATCATTGACGACATCCTCCAAGGGCTTGTACAGAGAGTCTTTCGGGAAGTGCGTCGGTTTGAAAATATTGCTCTTGACCAGAGCGGTTACTGTCTTTTGAACATAATTCAGACAAATTAAGAAGAGAATATCAATAGTCCACGCACCGTAATGACCTTGATACTTGAAACCAATTGAGTATGAGCCGCCGACTCAAAAGTTCCACTCACTTGAACGGTTCTAATTCAACCCGGAGGGTATCACTAAAGGAGTGGAGCGCCGCCTTGCTGGCGTTGTAGCCAGCTTGCAAGGGGATCGCAACAAGCCCGGCTGCGCTACCGATGTTGACGATACAAGCGTCTTGTCCCGCCATGAGAAGTTGAATGAACTCTTGAACCATCGACATATGTGCGAATAGGTTGAGTTCGAAGACGGAGCGCATTTCGGACATTTCCGTATCGAGGATCGCCGCTTCGTGGACTGAACAGTAAACAAGAATGAGGACAGAGAAGAAGAGTGAGCTGATGATTTAGCTACGTTTTCCGCTGCAAGATGAATTAGGAGCATAGCCTACCATTATAATTGAAGGGTCGTGCTTACGCATTGTTCACGAGAATATCAAGCTTCCCTCCAGTCTTCGAAGCAACAATATCCCGAGCATTCCGAATTGAGTCGACTTTGGTTACATCGAGTTCGATGATGTTGATCCCAAGCGCAGCAAGTCCCTTCATCGTCTCTACCCTCCGCGAGGTGGCAAACACACGTAGACCTGAACACGACACTCAAGATCATTTCCAATCAACTTTGACAAAAAAGTGATCTGTACCTCGCGAGTGGTATTCCTTAGCCAGCGCAGCGCCGATACCGCCATCGGAGCATCCAGTGATTAGAACCGTTCTTTGAGCAGGCATGATAAAAAGGAGGGAACTCAGTGTCGGACTGAACCCAAGACATAGCACTTTAAAAACGACGACATCCGGCTCCGTCCGATTCCGTTACAAAGCCCTACCGCTTGGTAATCGTAAGGGACGGGTGTACCGGCGGATCTGCTGAGCATGAAAGGGCACCGCCGTCCGATCGTTGAGTCTGCGGCTTGCCCGCTCTTGCCCGTCCCGCTTGGAAATGGGCAAGAAACGGGTTTGAGTCAGCATAGTCACTGTATAGTATATACCAATTTATCTGTCATGATTCAGAGCCTGTGTACTTATCTGCCAGGTTCGCGCCGACTGAGAACCTCTGATAACCTCGAAAGCTTATAGTCTCGCTTCTACGACGGCAAGGGAGTAATGGTCCAGCCTGAGGTTGTAAAGAAGGACCGTGATCATCATCAGTCGGATGATTGCCCATCACTTCGGCTAAGTTGCTTGACCTCTTCCCTCCTCTTCCCTCATGTTACTTTTCGTACCCGTTCTTGATTAAGTACACTCTGGCCCTCAAGTGGTCGAACAAACCTAGATGATTCGCGTTCAAGTCCTTGTGACCTCTTGGCAACCGCAGGGACTCGAGAAAAGATTTTGAGCACGTCGCTGAGGCCCGGGGTAATGGATTTAAATGAAGAAACACACTACCGGCTACGTCTCGAACGTCTACGCATTCGACGCCAGTCAGCCAATCATCTTGCAGCTCCTCATGTCCTGGACTGCATGTGCCATGCGGCTGCCGGGATATTGCTACTTTCCTAAGGTTCGTTCCACTGTGAATCCGCTTGAAAATTTCATGACTTGCTTCGAATAGGTTATAGAGCCGCTGAGATACGTATGGCTCGCTGCAAATCCCAGTACTTTCGAACGTGGGGTTAGAACTGCCCTGCTTGTATCTAATCTACGCCATTAATGAATCATATCGATCCGACTTCGATTCAGTGACGTGACTGACGCGTCTTCTCCTCTCCCGCGTCCTCTCACTCAAGCACTTACTCAACGTTATCCTTATCCATGGCTCACCGTCGCGCCGCCGCCGCCAAACCCCAACGCGCTCAATCCGCCGCCCCAGTCGAAGACTTTGACTTCCTCGCGTCTCAACAGTCTAATGCCAGTGGAAGCGACGACCAGGCGTTGGTGTTTTCTTGATCTCTGCTCTTTCGCGCGTCGCTTGACTCGAATGAGTGTAGGATGCAGCTCGCTATCGCACAACAGCTCATGGGTGCGTTTTCACTCCGAGTCAGGTAGCTGTCGTGGGAGACTGAAGCGATGATGGGATATAGCATCGAAAGAAAGGAAGCGTAAGGAGCTTGAGAAGAAGTTCTTCCAGGCTGCGAGACATAAGCTCAACGGCGAGGTGCGTACTGTTTTGGATGTCTCATTCCCAATCTAAAGCCTCAATGCCTTTCGCACAAGATCTCGGCGGCCGCTGACGACGTGAAGAGTACAGTCGAAGCAACGTATGCGCTTGTTTTCTTTATATCCTGATCCTTGGATGCCTGCGATAACGAATTTCGATGTTGAAGGGAACAACTATACGCGAAATTTCTGACCGACTACGCTACCTGCGAGGACAGGATCCGCGCTTTGTGGATGCTGATTAAGAAGGAGGAGCAGACACTCGTCGTTCGTGCCTATATTATATCGCTCACTTCTCTTCATCGCTGAATTGTGGTCTGGTCGACCTCCAGGATATCGCGAAGAAACAGCACGACCTCAACCTCACCATGCGCACCGAGACAGAACAAGCACAGTTTACGGGGATGGGTCGCGCGAAGGAGGCGTGTCATGGTGCGTTTTGTGGACTTCACTGTACTACGAATTCTCCTCTGATGGTCTATTACATGAAGATAACCGACGTATTATTGAAACGCTTGTTCCCGGGGCCGCTTGAGAATTCTTTATTGTATACACGCGCCCATTTTCCGTCTCAGCACTTGAACATTCATCGTCACACGCATGTATTCCCGCCATCATGGTTTCATCCGTATCCTCGCTTTCGATATCATTCATAGCAGAAACAATAATATCAACTTGGACAAGACTTTCAATCTCTACAATATCTAATACACTTAAAGCTTTCAGGTTCCGACTATCGTCACTTAAATTTCAAGAATCAAATACTACTAATTTCTCTCCCAAAACGGTCTGCTCCAACACCTTCCCATTCTCGAGAATGATCTTCTCCGCCCCTACCAGAACAACCGCAATCCGACACACCTCCTCCGTCCGATTATACCACGCATGATTCACTCCTCTTTGCACGATAAACTCTCCCGCCTTCACCGTCTTCTCCTCCCCACCATCCAACGCCAACACGCCAACACAATCTCCCCAGAAAGCACGACGGCGTAATCGATGGGATATCTGTGATGCAGAAGAGGACGCCGGTGGGCGGGCAGCGTGGGAGGACTGCGGAATCGAGAATCGAGAGTGGGTAACCAGGTGTGGGTTAGGGTTCGGTGTTGGATGCGGGGACGGTGGGGGAGGCGTGGAAGGTTGTGAAGTGGGAGCCTTGGGGGCCGAAGGGTGTGAAGGGTGTGAGGGTGGAGTCGGAGGTGAAGATGGAGGTGCCGGTGGGGGTGTGGCCTGTTACGACGAGGCGCGCGTCGGGGAGTTGAGTGGTTTGGGAGCCTGAGGATGCCATCGTTTCAGAGTGAGTGAGAGATATGAATTTGAGGGACGGGGCAAGTGAGGAGCTCTCGAGCCGGTGCTTGCTCTCGTTGCAAGTTCAAAAGCTCCTATATATACAGTCGTTCGAAAAAACGGAACCAAAATCCCCATGAACGATTTAATGGCATTGCCAGTGGAGAAACGGTTGCGAAATTTCCTTCTTTGGGTGAATTCATCCGCTTCTTATCTTACAAATACAAGACAGAGGGGATCGATTGGAGCAGGAGAGCGGCTGAGGGAGACACAGCCCGTCAAGAATCGGAGTCAAGATCACGTAGATCTACGACACGTCGAACAGAGACGTGGAGGTCATAGATGCGCCGCTGGACTACGTGCACGGGCCCGGGGACGAGCTGGGACTCAGTAAGCGCGTCGACGCGACGTGTATACATCATTCTAATTAGTTGAATCTCATTCCGAAATCTATCAGCTCTACAACATTCACGAGAAAAAAACCAGATCTACACTCGAACTTGAAGCACAGCAGCTCACGCTTTCCCCGCGGCAAGCACCTCTTCCTTCGTCTTCTCCCCGCTCACCACGGCCTGCACCACCTTGAGCGCCTGCGCAAAGTCA